GCTCCATCCTGCACTGCGCCATCTTCAGTGGGAGCAGATTTTGGATCCTTCCTTGGGCGTGAACACCTCCATTGGGAGATACTGTTTCTCCGTATCAGGTACATCCTCCCTCCCACTCCTTTTGGTTCAGATCTGGTTTGGTTCATGGTTCAAGATTGATCCTTGAAAAATATGTTTTTCTAAATAGGGAATGCGATTCCCAGATGAAGGGAGAGAAAAAATTTTGAAATTCACCCCCTTCATTGGCTATATACTCGGGATCTTTAGGGGTAGGGGACTCACTGAAAGCTGAACTATTTGCACTGCTACAAGGATTAAAATTTGCTAAGCAATCAAATTTTAGAAATATGAAAGTTGAAGGAGATTCAAAATTGGTTATTTCTTGGGGGAGAGCCTGACAAGGGACTTGAATGTTTCCTTTACATGGACAAGGACAGCTAATGGAATGGCCGACACTCTAGCCAAGCAGGGGGTATTTAGGCAGCAAATGTTTTGGGCTCTGTTGTAATTTTGTATTTGGGCATTGTTGTTTCAGGTTTTGTTTTGAGGGTGATTGGATACCCATTCTGTTGTAACTTGCCTTTTCACTTATAATATAATTAAACTTTTTTTGCTGATCAAAAAAAAAAAACATTGGTACAAAATCCACTGTTCAAGGGTAACAATATTTGTCAATTTTATTCTTTCACATATTGCAATAAACTTGTCATCTTGCAATATATACATTTTCTCATAAATTCAAACAAGGAGGGGAAGGGGGAAGAGAAATAGAGAAGAAATGAGAAATAAAAACACCTGATGCTTTTCCTTCCATCTTGGAAAAAAGCTAGTCCCCAGCAGTTGGAACAAGTGGTCCCTCATTTCATCATTAGTAACCAACAAGCATTTATAATTAACAGCAGCATATAGCCAATACCTAAAATACCAAAAAAAAGAAACTCTTTTAGGGTCAATACCAAATTACTAACTACAAAGAATAGGGGAAAGACAAACTTATAATTGTATGGCTAGCTGTAATGACTCTTCCATGGCATTAAATCAGAATATGAAAAGGTGCAACTTTAGGATTAGTCATTCTACATAGTATTACTAAAGAGAGGTATATATGTAATTGCTTCATTCTTAATGTGATCAAGTGCAAATTAAACCCTGGCCAACTGGGAGATTAATCTTTTTCTCCCAATCAACAGTTGGGTCATCTTCTTTGTGGCTGTTTTTCTCTTGTTCTCTCCTGCACACAAGATTACCGTATCAAATCTTGTTGTTTTATTTCATGGTACCAGACCAGGCCCTGCAGTAGGTCTCAAATTTTCTCCTTCTCTCTTCTCTTCCCTTCTCTTGTTTCTTATTCTCTTGTGGTGATCTCTCTTTCCTTGGGCTGCTGAGAACCAAATATCTCAGCTCTTTTTGCTGAGAACCAAATATCTCATATACTTTCATTTAAGTTGTTGTTATTCAACTTTGTAAGACATCTTCCTAGCATCTAATGAGATAAAATCCGAATATATTTCACCCAGAAAATTTGCAGCAGATTGCTTGCTTGATTTCCATCTTTTCTAGCCCAATTTTCTACTTCCGTTTAGGTGATGTCTACTGAAAAAGTCGCTAGAACACATCTGTTAGGCTTGTTCTCTACATTAAGAAGCCAGCTGATATGGCATATAATGGCTCAAGATAGGACTATGTAAATATAATATAGTTTGGGGCTAGTGGGAGCTAGAAAGCTAAGGGGTTTCCAGCACATTATTATTCTTCTACATTATTCTTTTATATAATTAACAAATTTCCTGACTGCTACCAATAAAAAAATGTGGTTATGATTTATTATCGGCAGTTTTCTAAAAAGTGTACCTCAGGCACCCTTATGACAGGCAAGGCTCATTTTGTGAGGTATGCCTTACCCGAACTAATTTGTGCCTCATCCAATTTAAGTGAACTAACCTTGAATTTGATGTTGAATTTGACTATGTGATTTACTATTTTGTAGGATGTATCTGTGATGCTTAGAGTTTAAATAGTTTAGCTTATGTAGGACTTGAACAAACAAGTATAAAGTTTATGATGACAACGTGATATTGCACCCAATGGAGTTAATAGACTTTTTGAAATATTGCATTTCCTTAAGAATTTAGATATACATATTTTTGTATGTCAAGATTTTCTTTTCATTTTTATTTTTTATTTCTTGATACCTCCAAAGAAGATACTAGGCATTGGACCCCTCACCCCTCCGGAGCCTTCAGTTGTGCTTCCTTCTTTAAAACCTTGTCCACTTCTGCTCAACCTGGGGTACTGTATCCAGTCCAAGAAGTTTGGTGTTGCTCCATTCCCCCGAAAGTGAGTGCTTTTTGTTGGGAGGTCTACCATGGTGCAATTAGCACCTGTGATCTGATGCAGAGGAAGAGGCCTAGCTGGTGCCTTTCACCTAATTGGTTTTGTTTGTGCGAGTCAAGTGGTGAAACTGCTTTTCATATTTTTGTCTCCTGTCCTGTTGCTAGCTGTATTTGGGACTGGTTTTTCTCTCTCTTTGGATGCAGGTGGAATACCCCGACGAGTTTGGAAAGGCTATTTGACTCCTCCACTTTCAGATGGCCAAAAAGAAGAGGTAGAATGCTATGGAGATGCACTCGGGCAGCAGTGCTTTGGGTGATATGGGAGGAAAGAAATCTGAGAATTTTTAAAAAAATAAAAGAAGAAAAGATGCAAGGAAGTGCTGATAGAAGGAATCATGATAAAGGTGATTTCGTGGGTAAAGTGTGTGGGATTGTTCTCAGATTTTACTGTGGATGATATCTTCAGAAATTGGAAGACAGTAGTTTCCTCTTCATCAACTAAAAAGAAGATCTTAAGAGATTGGGATCCCCCTGATTCTGGCTTCCTCAGATTAAACTTTGACGGAAGTAGTTTTGGCAACCCAGGAATATCTGGAATTGGAGGGGTGATAAGAAATGACGAAGGGGCTGTGGTGGGGTTGTTCTCAGGTCCTATTAGAAGGGGATGTGAAAAAACTCCCTGATGTACCATTTTATTGTAGTCCTTATTGTATTGTTTTCACTTCAGCCCTGCAAAGGCCTCTCTGTAAATTCTCTAAATTGTGTTGCCCTACAAGGGCCTCTCTGTAATATCTTTAATTTTACTTTCTATATAAAGGACCCTTGGGGTAGGGCCGAATCATCCATTCTTCATCCCCAGAATTCTGCATTCTGCTCTGGGTCTGTTGACATGGTATCAGAGCAGGCTGCTCTATAACCTTTGCTCTTTTCTTGCTCATTCGTTGGGCATATTAGGGGTTTTTGTTCTCAGGGTGTTTTGGCTGGTGTTAGGACTGTTCTCTTCAATCCTAACCCTAGTTCCTCTAGGAAGCTTCTTTCTGGAAGGAGTTCTGACTGGCTGTGTCGCCCAGATCCTTCTTTTTCTCTCAGAAAATCAGTGGGAACTGACAAGTCTTTGAGGAGTTCCGGTCTTCTCTCCTGGGCAGCAGAAGATTTTTTTTCTTCTTCCACCATCTGTGTACTGATTTCTCCAGGGCGGAAGCAGCTTTGCTCCTTATGGTTCATCTTTGAACAGTCACAGATTAAGGAATCTCAACAGTCTGTCTTCTTCCTCCCTCAACAGCAGCAGTTCCGAACCTGTTTTCTTTGGTTTTCTCATGCTTCTGACTGAGAAACTTCAACAGACATCAGGTTCTCTCTTCAAGCTGATCAGGAAAACTTCTCATTTCAGGTTGGTGAATCATTCGGTTGTCATAATCGACTGTTATAATTCCTTGGAACCCTAGTTTTGTGCTGCCCTAATGTCACAAGTGTTCTCTTCGCCGCGCCATCAAGTGCCATCCATCGTGCCTACAGCCGCCACTCCAGTGTCCAAGTGTGTGTCATGGGTGGGCTATGCATGTACTTTTGTATGGGGGGATTGCCAATGGCATTCTTGTAATTACTTAGTATGATTTTTCATCCTTTTGATGTATCTTTATGTCACTCCCCCAAAAGCTTAACGTACTCTTTGAGAGGAGGTAGGTAGTCGAGTGAATCAAGAGCATGTAAAGGTTAAGCATGAGATCCCCTCGACATTGAACTGTGTGCTTATGCTTGCCATCCATTAATGCAATACAATTTGCCTTTTGTCTAATTCGTGTGCCATCTTTGTTGCCTTTTCTTGTTTTGTTGCTTGTTGCTTAGGCTTACTTGTCGCATTCGAGTGTCACACGGGGCCCCAACGAGTAGCCCCGTAACACGGGTATTTTCTTCTCTTGGTTATCAGTCCTTGGAACTGTAGTTTGCGCTAAGTATGTGGTGTTTACCGGAGGATTTTTTATTCCTCTATAAAGGTTCTTGTTGAAATTGCCTTGGATTTGTTGCATTACATTATTCAGCCCTCATTTTACTTTTTTGAAGAATGTTGTGTTCGGCTGAAGTAATTTTCTGCCTTTTTCATTACTGATTTGAGTGCATTACCAACATCAGTGCTGCTATTTCTGGGTTGTTTTTTTGCTCATTTATGATGGCTGAAAATGTTGACTTTCTCCCTGTGAAATTTGATGGAACTAACTACAATATGTGGAAGTTCCACTTCGATTTCTATGTTGAGGGAAAGGGTCTTGAAGGTTACTTGAATGGGACTATATGTAAACCTGATGAGGCTGAGGCTGATAGTAAAGCCTATACACAATGGAGGCTAGACAACGGAAAGTTAGTCTCCTGGATTTTGAGATCCATTGCACCTCACATTAGTGTTACCATGAGAAGATTGAGGACTGCCTATGAGATGTATGCCTATTTGAAAAAGGTATATCATCAGTCCAATATGTCACGGCAATACCAGATTGAATTTGAAACCTTTGCCTATTGCCAAGGGGACAAAAAGATTCAAGAATACTATTCGGGCTTTATTGATCTCTGGGCTGAATATGAACTTGTTCATACTGAAACTTCTGATCCCGTTAAATGTGTCAAGTATTTGCAAAAAACATTTTGAAAATAGGAAAGTTAACCAATTTCTCATGAGGCTGAGACCTGAATATGAAATAATCAAGTCAAATATTTTGAGTAGAGGAACTCTTCCAGACTTAGACTTTGTGATGGGAGAGTTATTGACGGAAGAAACTAGACTCCTAACTACTGCAAACATAGAAGGGAAACATCCTGATTCAGGGATTGATATTGTTTTTCTTGCACGAGGGAATAAGAAATCTGGTGGAAAAGACCCTTCTAAAACTCAATGCTATGAATGTAAAGGATATGGACATATAGCCTCTCATTACAAAAAGAAGAATATCTGCACATATTGCAAACAACATGGACATATCATTCCAAATTGCCCAATTCGTCCACCTAAGGGACCCATGAAGAAGAATTAGCCACGAGCTTATCAGGCGTCTGAGGGACGAGTGTCCGATACTCCTATTGCCAAGAGAGAATCCTTTGCTTCCATGAATAAGGAAGAGATACAACAACTGGTATCTTCTGCCATCCCATCTACCTTTTCTGCTATCGGCCTATCTAGTGAGTTCCCTGGTTATTGCTCTTCTCCCTCTCACGTTTGTATAATTGATTCTGGTGCTACAAACCATATGACTGGAGCCTATCCTGAACCTTCAAACAGACTGTCTGAGACCAACCATAGACATATTGTCACTGCTAACGGTGAGAAACTTAACATCATTGGGAGTGATGACTTGTGTATCAAACTTTCCCCCTGAAATTCCTTGTCCCTTGCTAAAACTTTCCTTGTTCCTAAACTTACTGCAACCTTATTTCAGTTGGTCAATTAGTTGATGAAGGTCACATTCTAACCCTTTTTTTTATCAATCTCATTCTAACCTTTTCCTTTAATGGTTGTTTGATTCAGGATCAGTGCACTGGGAAGGTGAAAGGGAAGGGGTGTAAGATGGGCCACTTGTTTGCATTGGAGTTTGAG